TATTCCTTCTTCATTGTCTTGCTGGATCGAAAACCAACACTCGGCTGCTCAAAAAGATGATATTGTTGAGAGTGATGTCGACATGATAAGTAACATCTTAACGGGCCAATTCAAATCCTCTGATTCAGTCATTAAAGCATTGGACACTTGTGATGTTGATTTGTCCGATGGTTTGGTCGAGCAAGTACTGTGTAGATTTAGCAATGAGTGGGTCCCATCACTCGGATTCTTCAAGTGGGCCGAGTCGCGAAACGGGTTTAAACATTCACCTAACTTTTACAATCTAATGGTCAACAACTTGGGGAAAGTGAAAAAATTCGAGCTGATGTGGGATTTAGCTGAGGAAATGAAAACTCTAGAAGGGTACTTCACTTTGGACACGATGACCAAAATCATGAGGCGGCTCGTGAAGGCCGGGAAGCACGAGGATGCAATCGAAGCATTCAAAAAATTGGAATTATTTGGGATCGAAAAGGATACAGAAGCCTTAAATAGATTAATAGAAGCATTAGCAACTCATGGGAGTGTTGAGCAAGGGGAACAAGTTTATTTCAAATTTAAGGAAAATATTCCTCCTTCTCAACGGACTTTTAACATATTGGTCCAAGGTTGGTGCAAAATCAAGCAAATGGGGAAGGCCAAGGAAACTCTTGATGAGATGCGGGCCCACGGCTTCGGGCCGAACTTGTTTACCTACACGGGCTTCATCGAGACCTACTGCTGCGAAAAGGATTTTCGTAATGTTGATGCGACTTTAGCGGAAATGGAGAGGGAAGGTATTGATCCAAATGTGGTGACATACGCTATAATGATGAAGTCTTATGGAAAAGCAAAGGAAACCAAAAAAGCCATGGAAGTTTACGAATTAATGAAGAAAAACAATTGTCCACCCGATGCCTCGATATATACGGCCCTCATTGGTATTCTGGGCCGACAGGGCAGAGTTAAAGATGCGTACGAGGTTTTTGAGGACATGTCCAGACAAGGAGTGGAGCCCAACGTGTCGACTTACAATATGCTGATTTTGATTTCGGCCAGCAGGTGTCAAGAGGAGAAGGCACTTACTTTGCTTAAGAAAATGGAGGAAAATAAATGCAGGCCAAATTCCTTTACATACGCTCCCCTGCTGAAAATGTGCTGTGAGTTAAAAAGAATGAAAGTGCTTACGTTTTTGTTGAGTCACATGTTTAAAAACAACGTGAGTCTTGATCCGATGACTTATTCGGTTTTGATCGGCCGGCTGTGTAAGAATGGGAATGCCGCTATGGCGTGCTCGTTTCTTGAGGAGATGATGGATAAGGGTCTTGTGCCGATGGATGGTACGTATAAGGGTTTGGTTAAAGCACTCGATGAGAATGGCTTGCTTGAGGAGAAGGAACGGGTCAAAAACGCGATGTCACGGTTTAAAGAAGGGTTTGAGTAGTTCTTAGTGTTTTGCTTCTAGTGATGATTGTGGACTGAATAAAGTTTGATAGCCTATATAAGATTTGTTGGAGTATGAGAGTTGACAAAGATGGATATTTAATCATGTCGTTGGAATGCATTTATGTTTCGATTTTAGAATAAGTGAATCGTATACTAGTATTTTTCATGTGCATATGCAAAAATACAAATTATATATTATAAGTTATAGGTATGCATATAATATTTAAATTATGAGTTATATAATGATGTTATATTTTAAATTTTTGAACATTAATAAAGTAAAAAAAAAAACTATTTAAATTGCATATTAATGCATTTATGTTGCGATCTAGACTAAGTGAAATGTGTATTATCACAACTTTTTAATGTAATTTACTCTATTATGTTTAATGCAGCCTAATTCTGTAATTTTGTAATGGCCTTTTTTTTTGTCTTTTGGGGGGGCAAATTTCTTTTACATGTTGATATATAGATGCACTTTCATCTACATATTGTCCCATTAAAAAATTTCTTTTCACCCCCACAACTGACAAAATTATATGCAATGTAAAAATCGTATATTCAAATGAACCGCATAATTAACAATTATGCGAGATTTTGCTGTATATATACCAACGCATAACCAAATCAGACGTATAGTTAATAATTATGCGAAACACATTTGCATACTTGTTAATCGTATATCAAAAGACAAAATCCACCGCATAATTTTTGTTATGCTATTTTATTTCGAATAAAAAAATTATCGCATATCAAAATCAATAGCTGCATATTTTACGATTATGCGACAAGTTTTCGCATACTTTATGTCTCGCATATCCAAATTGATCGCATAGTTAACAAGTATGTAAAACACTTGCGCATATTATGTAATTGTGTATCTGTTATGAAATGACCCTCGACCAACTTGGTTCGATCTGATCTATTTTCCTCGTCGATTGATGACCTTCAAGACATGCAAAAACTGAACATCGGAGGAGTTTTCCGGTGAAGAGACTCCGATACTAAGTTAGAGAACTGTTGAAGACGATGAACGATATTGTATGTAAGTGTTTAGGGACTGTAATGTTCAAAAGGGCATACCTCACTCCCTTTCATAGGGAGATGTTACCTTGTTGCTCAAAATTGCCCGAATGAACTGCCCGGACTACCCGAACAGCCCGTCCATACTGCCCGAAATGCCTAATTCTGTTAGTCCACGTGGCCCTATCCACATGTTATCGTTATCTTGCTAATATTCCTTCTTATTCATTAGTCTGTCTTATTAGACTGCCTAATCGGACGATTGACCCAAATCACATCGAGGTAGAATGTTGCATATGTCGTGCTTACGTGACATGTCCTCCAAGTCGATCACACGACCAATCTTAAGTTAGTGACTGTTTGCTTTTCCTCAAGAGGTGGAAGTCCTATAAATATGACTTAGAGCTGCAGAGGAAGACTCACCATTTTGTATGCATTCTTAATACTCTCAAAGTCTCATACATCATATCAAAAGTGATTTGTTCTCGACTTCATTCCAGTTCGCCGAAGCTCGAATTCTGGTGTGCTACAGCGTTAGAGACGTAAGCCGTTGTATCTTTGGGGACGAGACGCCTGAACCCGTCAGCACTATACGGGGCGTTTTCGTCTTGCGGAAAGAGCAATCGCCTCGGCCTTTTCCGTTTTCTCTTTTGTATTTTTCGATTCTATTTTAGTTCACTTTGTAAGAACTGAAATCATCATCTTCAGTTCATAGGTTTACTGTGTAATCAAACACTACTTTGTGTAACAGAAGGTTGAGAAAGATTAGGTGGGTGCCGCCTGCTTAGCATTGGGGCCAAGAACAAATAAACACACAAGAGACTAGAGACTGGAAAGGAAGGCACATAGGAAGGAAAGTTTTAGTACACTGGTTTTAGTTCTTCCGCCAAACACATCTAAATATTAGTCACTTGTACTTTTAATCTACAACCAAACGCAACAAACTATAATGGAGTTTAAAATAATGAGAAGCAACTATGTGCTAGTGGAAGATCAAAGAATTTAACTAAAATTTAATCACGACATTTTTCCCCTCTGTATTGCATAACGATACATCAAATTCAAATATCGATCGAATGTGCTTACATAACCATACTTCAAATTCAGTTATCGGTCGAGTCAAGGGCGTAGCCAGAAAAAAAAAATACCCTAGGCTAATTGGTTATAAAAAATAATTTAAATTATGCGGTAAAATTTTAAAAGGAAAAAAATAACAAGTTTTAATTGGGTTTTCGATTCTCCGTTCCACCCCTCTTTTTGATTGGGACTGACTCCGGACGAGCACGAAGGGCGACGAGAAATGTCAGGCGAAGAAAATGCTTTCTCCTTGCCTTCAATTTTTGGAATTCTGAACGCGTGAATTGTGAAGAACGAAGATGACGATGTTCTCTTCATCTCTTGAGGCCTGGGCTAGTTTAAATTTTTGGGCCAGACTAACTGGGCTAAAATTATTATATTGAGCTATTAAATTTATTTTATTTTTTTTATTTTTTGAAGTACCCTGGGCTGGAGCCCACCCCAGTCTTTGGGATGGCTCCGCCCCTAAGTAGAGTGTGCTTACGTATCTAACAACAATCAAATGATGTTGCATGTGTTACTATTTAATTACGATCTTTTTTTTAACTTTTGCTCAATATATTGTATATGAAAAAACTCAATTCATACCTAAATCATACTTAAAATCTAACTCCCATTTAACTCAAATCCACTGTTCTAAATATCATCAATATAATTAAATAATATCAACCAATCATTCTTACACGTCACATCAACTTTAATTCACTATTCATATATACTCACATAATTTTAACTAACCATCACTTCACATCAACACGTGAATTGTGAAGAACGAAGATGACGATGTTCTCTTCATCTCTTGAGGTCTGGGCTAGTTTAAATTTGTGGGCCAAACTAACTGGGCTAAAATTATTATATTGAGCTATAAAATTTTTTTTATTTTTTGAAGTACCCTGGGCTGGAGCCCACCCAGCCTTTGGGTAGCTCCGCCCCTAAGTAGAGTGTGCTTACGTATCTAACAACAATCAAATGATGTTGCATGTGTTACTATTTAATTACGATTTTTTTTTTTAACTTTTGATCAATATATTGTATATGAAAAATCTCAATTCATACCCAAATCATACTTAAAATCTAACTCCCATTTAAATCAAATCCATTATTCTCAATATCATCAATATAATTAAATAATATCAACCAATCATTCTTACACGTTACATCAACTTTAATTCACTATTCATATATACTCACATAATTTTAACTAACCATCACTTCACATCATCACGTCAAATGCTGTGCGTTGTCGTTTAATTGTTGTTGGACACCTAAATTCTCATAATATTTGGAACTAAAATTTCCTCATAGCACTCAGTTCTCATAAGTCATGAATTGTAATTGCACTGTACAATATTTATAAACACCCACTGAATTACCTGACTAACCTACCGCAATTTCATTTTCATAAATTGCAAAATGGTTATTGTAAAATTGAACTATTTTATAATTTAACCAAAAAATAATAATAATTAAACATTTCATCCAGCCAGAGATTTCAAAGGACTACGGCGTAAATTTTTTAAGTTCGGCTTCTGCAAACCATCTCTTCCCAAAAATTCCTCAATTATCCTACACAAAAAAACAAAAGAGAAAAAAATAAAATTAACTTGTTTATTGAGTAATTTGAATTCCACAATTATAATTTAAAAACTATGAGCACATATACTCACATGCTGCAAATAGCCTTTTGTGATGCTGCCAGCTCTCGATCGGGAAAGCTGTCTTCCAGGTGAAAACTAAGCCAAACGTACAAATCGAGAACCTAAGTTCCCGAAAGAGAAACAGTGAATCAAATCGCAACTTTCTAAAACGAAAATATGCAAATGATTCAAGTGAACACTCAACCTCTCTAACAAACTGCAATTGGTGAAAATACTAAATAGAATAATATAATGCGGTGTTTGTAGTTATTACAGTTGAGATTTATATTCGACAAGAATATACCGAAAAATAAAAAATATCAAACCTTGTGAATTGACTCAAGCTCTTTAAGTGCTTTATGTGATTTCGGGACCTTGAGTGTTCCAGGAGTAAATATTTCCTTAAGCCGAACACAGCGACTCTTGCAATAACTTTGTGCAAACTGCACACAAAAGCACTAAATTAGAATAATGTTTAAAAAAAATTACAAAAGCAATGCCTCCATCTTAGATAACCGAGCGAAAAATTATGGGAGGCCAGAATTTAATCTCACCTGGGTCAGTCCCTGAGATGAGATGTCGTCATCCATGTCAACGGGACTACATAATAAACTCGGATGAGTTATTTGAGAAATTGCTCATAAGCAAGCAATCATTGAAATTGTTATTTCGTGTTTTTTTTTTTTTTTAAATATTACATCAAGGTGAAGAAAATAGGGTTCCCTACTTATGAAAGGGCGAAAAATGTTACCTTACGGTAAAAAGATACTTATCATTCAAACTAAGAGGTAGCTCATCAATAACTGCAGCGACTTTCTGTTTTATAAACAAGACAGAATTAGTAGAGAAAAACAGCGACTTACGTTATGATGAATAAATCAGAAGATTTCAAAAAATACAGAAAGAAAAACTTTGCAGCCAAAATCAGTAGAGAAAAAGTATCATAAGATGGACGCACTAGTGATTATATAACTTACCAACAGTTGTTCACAGTCAGAAATGAAATACTTCTCTGATAATTTAGAATTTTCCGCAAAATGTTGCTGAAAAGATAAAGAAAACACATGGAAACACAAAGTTAAAGAAAAGTAGACTGTACGGAAATGAGAAATGAGAAAATGATGATCAACAATCTTGATTACAAAATAAAAATTTATATTATCTTTTAGGAAAGAAGGTTTTCCGACTCAAATTTGTTCAATTTCTCAAAACATTCCAATCACGACAAATAAAGGTCCGCTAACTAGAATATTTGCACCAACTTAAACATAAAACTAATTACACACACGTTATTGACAGTGTGTCTGCAGTGAGTGTTAGAAAGAGAGAGAGAGAGAGAGAGAGAGAGAGAGAGAGAGAGAGAGAGAGAGAGAGAGAGAGAGAGAGAGAGAGAGAGAGAGAGGGAGAATACCAATATCTGGTGTAGGCCATAACTCGGGCGTACATGTGAGTACATTAGTAAAAGATCAAAGTTGGGGAAAAGTCCAGCTTGCTGCATTACGATCATGACTCATCAGTAATAGTAAAAAAAACGAAATGCTAAGGTGGAAATAGATGTACGAGCGGCATCAAAATTCAGGGGCGGATTTACACTTGGGCGGTTGCCCAGACTGGATTTTTGCTGCTAATATATGTAGTTATAATTTCTAAATAAATATTAGGAAGAAAATGCAAAGTTGGAGAACTTGCGAGACATAATAAAAACAATTTTAAGCTTTTTTTAATAGTCTATATAAAACGAAGTCGAAGATTATTTCTCTTCTATAATTAAATTTATTGAAATGATAATCGAGGATGTGGCTATTGCTGATCAAAGAGGACAATGTAATTTGTTGCTTGTGCAAATACAACCGTTTGATTTCATTATGTCTTCTTGTAATGAGACAAATTTTACACCAACTAATGAGAAATGAATAAAATGATGATTAAGATATTGTCAATGCTATGGATTTGGTCAGGGCAAGTAAGACCATGCTAGTTTATAACAACTAGAAAAAATCTTTTTTTTTTTTTTTGTGTGTGTGTGTGTTAATTAGAATTGAAAACGGTTAATATGATTAGTTGTGTGTGGAAATTTAAAAACTTATTAAAATAATATTTAAAAAATATTTAAAATTAATTTAATGTAAAAATAGGAGATATATGATTAGAAATTATAGGTAGTTAAAGTTGTGTGAGTGGATTAATAGTGAATTAATGTATTGTGTAAGAATAGTTGAATGATATTATTTAATTATATTGATAATACTGAATATGATGGGGTTCAGTTAAAGTCGAGTTAGATTTAGAATTGAGATAGAATTTTTTTTCTATTTTTTTCCTACAAATTTGATAAACAAGCACGACCGAAGCAACTCCAAAAAATGAGAGAAGAAGAATGTGAATGGAAAAATTTCTTGCACAAGGTAAATTCGATGTAATAAGCACGGTATAAAAAATATCGAGCACTTTTTTATTTATATTGCCCTAGCTGATAAAAATTTCTGCATCCGCCGCTGTCTAAATTACCTCAATAATAGGAGAGGGGGAACCCAAAGATGAATGGAGTAAAGGTATATCATCAGCATCGAGACATGTAACTTCGCCTACAGGAAATTTAGATTTGAACCTGCCAGCTCTCCCTTCAACCACACACCAAAAATACCAAAATAAATAAATAACAAGAACTTTCAATAAAAGTTAATATTTTCAAAAACCATGGATGGGATGTGATATATCGACGTTTAAGTGTGAATTCAAGATTCATGTGAGAGAGCTCCAGTCAAGTCAATTTCACCAGTTAATATCAATTTTAATTTTTAAACAAGCATAAAAAAGCCAATCGCATCTTGGCGTTTTTATCGTTACTTTGGTTCTTGCTGACGAAATAAATCTCGAGAAAACAAAAAAAAACTTACCAGCAATTTGTTTAATCTCGGAAACAGTGAGATTCCGCGTTTCCACGCCGTCAAATTTTTTTAACGTAGAAAAAATGATTCGAGATATATTAAGATTGAGACCCATTCCAATGGCATCGCTAGCTACTAGGACATCAAAATCACTTGTTTCATCGTTGAACATTGTTGCCTGCAGTCCTAAGGAATTAATTAATTAAGCCAAATTTATGATTCACAGCATGAAGGTATCGAATTGTCAAGAAGAAAATAGGAATTTGTCCATGTATTAACCTTGTAAATACTACTGCTTTGACATGAAAAATGCTAACTCAATAAATTGGATCTTATGTAAGAAATTGAGAAAGTAAAATTACACATTTTCTACATTTAAATGAGGTTATGGGCAATTAGGAACGACAGTTGAAAAAAATCCGATTGATTAGTAAAATTACACATTTTCTACATTTAAAGTTCCACGCCAAGAAAAAAAAAAA